ATTAAATGTCTATTTTAGTCTATATAAACTGCCAGATCCATCTCCTCAGTGTGCCGATGTACTCTTCTGTTTATGAAAGTAGGCTAGCCAGCATCCCTCTGTCAGACCTATTTCTGGATACTTACATCATCCCAGCTGAGTGGAAGTAAAACATCCTCCACATAAAGCTTTAATGCAGCCTCATTTACTATATTATCAGTGTTGGAATTATAGTTCTTTCTTCTGCTCTGTAGACTGTGGTAGTCCTCAGCTGACATTATGTAACCAGCAGCTGGGAGGGCTACAGCACTGGCTCTGACTGACAATTGGAGCTAAAATTAAATCAGGGGACAGATGCGATGCATGACAGACACAGAGCTGTTGGAGGATCGGGACAATTGGTGGATAATTGTTAATCAGTCAGTTTAAATACAAAAATAAAAGGAAGAGATAAAAAGAGGGAAAAAAACAATTACAAAGTGCCATATAGATACAGAATTATGCACAACTGATAGCTCAAAAGTGTTTGCATTAAACCCAAATAATTCTGGTTATATGTATGCAAAACCAGGATGGTAGCCCAGATATGGTGTACTGCAAAAGCGGACATCTGAGCAGAGGGAGGAACGGGAACTGATTTACCCATCAAGTCTGACAACAGTTGTTCCATCAAAAATATGAAGAAAGGGCTCACGAAATGAAAACATCCTCGAAGCTGGTACCGTTTTAACAATTAACAGTAAATATTGAGTTTATTCAAAGCCACAGGATAGCTTGGGGGATTTTTAAAAAAAATCAATAATACTTTCTAATTTAAACCAGGTATCCAGACAGATTTAAATTTAAAAACAAATAGTTAGACATAATTAGTTTCTGAACTGGATTTCCCGTCAGCTTAAATAAAAACATCAACGCCAAATGCTTCACTCCTTATGCATTTCTAAATATAAAGGCAATTCACCTTAACAATAAAAATCAATTCATGCACTGAATTGACTGTCCAAATATAGTTTAAAAATGAACACAGTGTTAAGTTCACTTACTGTTCTGGTGTAATTATCCGCCCCTATCCTCAGGTCGCCGGAGTTAAACTTCCCTCAGTGCTCCAGGCGAAGGATCTAAATGGTCGACCCGTCATGAGGATGGGCGGCAGGTGCTGGTCACAGAGGCGGCGGAAACATTGTGAACAGCGTGGGGAGGACGACTGGAGTGAACCGAAATCTATGGAAACACCCCCCGTCTGAGTGTGTGACCGCCTGGAGCTCAACCGCAGCACGGCATCATATCCATAGCATGTTGGTGCTCCTCACGAGGCAAGGCGGTGAGAGTGTAAGAGAGCACTTCCTGTGGTGCATTTCAAACTAAAAGTCCGAAATTGCGAAGGCAGAACAACAATAGAGCAGTGACATTTCTTTACTTTTAAGCATTTTATGCTCCTTAAATTAAATATGCCAGAGGGAAATCCAGACACCTCCATCCAGCTCGCAGCTCAATCTGCAATGAATGCTGGATAGGTCTCTGGGTGATTCCTCCAGCAAAAAAAAAAAAAAAAAAATTATATATTTCAAACAAATATACATTTTTTCCAAAAATATTTAATACTTTGTTATTTAATCAAAATATCCAAATCCAGGGGTACATTGGAGCTCCTCTAATAAGAACTGACATCTTATCAGTTTTGTTCTGTTTTCAAGTTATTACTCTTGGTTGAAGTCTAGAGATCTGTTTTCTCTTGGGGCACTTTTACTCAGCCAGTACAATGCATATTAAAAGGAAGGAATTATTTATAAGACACACAAGTCTGGTTGTCCCAGGGTCCTAAGGACACATAAACAAGACTGCTGTCTGAAAATTGAAATCAAACTTGAAACTTTTCCCCAATTAACATCTGAAAATACCAGCAGTTTCCAGAAAGTGGCCCAAGTGTCATTGGTACGTCACACCATCCAGCCACAAAGTCATCTCACAAGTCAGCCAATGCTGTACTGTGACTATTGGCAGCTTAGAACTGTCACAGCAGTGGGTTGATTTCAACCCCTTTATAAACTGGTAGTTTCAGACAACACACACACCCAGCAAAAGTCATAAACTTTGACTTTGATTGTTTTATGGGATCCATGTGCACATCCAAAAATAACCCCCAAAAGCAGTGGGTTGGACACCCACGCTCCTGTGTTTCTATTTTCGTTTTTATTTTGAAGGCTAAAAAAATATCTTGTTTCTGCTGTAACTGAGGTGAACTTGACTAGGCCGATCAACCGTTGGTGTGTACATAGATGACAAGCTGTGCGGTCGCGGCACACGGTTGTTATTGGCTGTTAGCCTCACGTGACAAACACAACAAACAACGTGAACGGCAGCTGACAGCGCACGAGAGCTTTTAATTTCATGCTTGGACCCCTTTTTCCAATCAGCGTAAATTGACTTTGCAACAAGATGACAGCAAAAATAAACTACACAACAACAAGATAACTAAGCAACTTAAATCTGATTTTTTAATTATTTCTACCTTAGAAATCAGGTTCCTGTTTATCCTGATTTTCTACTTAGAAACCCAACATGGATTATGCAAGAGGCAATGTGTTTTTCAGTGGGGAAATTAAGAGCCCATTCCCCTGCTACATTTAGTTTGTGTTGTCCTGGTGAGCCAGCTCTGATTTTATTTTTTTCCTCTTTTTTTTTTTGTCTTCTGATCATTAGAGGTAAGAGGTTCATCACTGCCATTCAGGGAGCACAAATCACCAATCACAACTGGCTTACATAATCATCATTCTAAGCAGCCTGCTCTTTGCAGCTGCTGGCTTCCTCACATAACAAACCTGAAGTCACCTGGCATGCAAATGTGTGCACACAAACACACAGATGGTTATAACAAATACACACCTCTTTCACACTGTTTGATTTGCTCACTTTTTGGACAGCTTTCTTTCCAGGAAGAAGCACAAGGTCATTAGCCCCTCCATAGATGACCTTTCCTGTTTGTGATTTCCTGTTGCTGAGCTGCATATTGTGTCATGGTTACACAAGTGGTTGGCAAGTCTTGGTTGTACTTTTCTACATGAGTCAATCCCCTGTGACCAATGCTGGCATGTGAGAGGGATTTGGTTAGGAAAAAAAGTGCAAAACACAAAAACACTGAGTCATTGATGATTTTTTTTTTGATTAATGCAGGTGTTAAAGATACATTCAAGAGAGCAAAACACAACTGCTAAAATATAATTTCTAACTTAATAATAGGGAGGTTATTTGCAAGCAGGCTTTTAAGAAGTCACTACTGCAACTTTGCTTCCAAAATGATTGTGGACAGAAGTTAGCAGATGTTCTTCCTTCTATTACAATCAGACTTGAAAGAACTGCTCTTACTGTGAAGGCCCAACATCTGAGAGTCCGTATGTAAAGGTCAACTTTGGTTTCTGCATGAAAGGGAGTATTAATTAGGCTTAACACATGTGATAACTGCTCCAAGAAATACTTCAGTCCTGAAAATAAAGAAATATTACATGTTGGAAATAAAAAAGGCAATAAAGAGAGTTAAAGTAATACTGATGTATGGGATAAATACAAATATATTTTTAAAATAAAAAATGTACTTTCCTATTTGCACTGTACACGTTTTAACTTTTTTTTTGGTCACACTGAAATATCTATGATCTTCAACACAACTTTAACATCAGACAAAGATAAACTGAACAAATGCAAAAGCAGTTTTCAAATGATTGCTTCATTTTGTAAAAATACTCAAGCCAACTTGGCCCTGTGTAGACGAAAGTCACTGGCCTTCTTGCTACATCAATAAATAACTTTGATTAACCAGAAATCTGAGTTTCAGAAACCTCACCTGGGCCTTATTACCACCAGATCTGCAGAATAAAAAAAAAAGTTATACAAATAGGATCTTTCAGAGAACATAATCGGTTAAAAAAAGAAAATGCGTAACAGCAGTCAAACCTTCCCAGGAGTGTCATTAAGAAAAAATAACCATGGAAAGCCTCAAGACACAGCTGACCAAAGAAGAAAACACAAAGTTCATTTTGGATTTAGCAAAAAAAAAAAGAAAAAGAAAGAAAAAAAATCATGTTAAGAATTTCAGTTTTTAGCATGATGTTCTAGGGGAGGGTTGCTGGTTCAGGATATGGACAATTTGCTGAAATTAATGGAACCACACATTCTGCAACAATAACATTATGGTTTTGGAGTGGCATAGTCAAAGTTTATACTCAAATTTGTTTGAAATTTTGTGAGATGACAGCTTGCATTCAAAACCCCAAAATTCAAAATTTACAGAACCACCGGGAATGATGAAAAAAATAAAAAATAATACATATATATATATATATATATATATATATATATATATATATATATATATATATATATATATATATATATATATATATATATATATATATATATATATATGGTTTTGAATTCATAATCATTTAAAACTATGATGGGGCAACAGTCTGCTGTTGGTTCAAGAAATATAACATGGAAAGGGCATCAGAGATTTCTATCTTTTCACTAGACGGAAACAAAATCATAAAACTAATGCCAAACATTGGATGAAGTAGTCTGGAATTTACAATTTTTCTTAATTGCTGAATTTATATTCAGAATCACCTTCATTTGCATGTTTATATGGTTTCTCATTATAATAACAATGTCACATCTCTCACACTTCATTGCAGCCGCTGCTGCTCCAAAGCACTCTTTACAATTCTGCATCTCTCAAGAGGTCTCCGTGTCCAGATTGCCTTCAGTCATAACCGTCTCTCCAATCCAATTATGCCCAACTAATGCACTATGAAATGTGAACATTTGAAATAAAAGTTAGTATCTGTGTAAAGCAGGGCAAGGCAACAGGTTTATGAATTTAAATTGACTATGTGACTGATCAACAAAATAGAGAATACTTGTACAGGAAAGAAAAAAAAAATAATCTAAAATGTGTGGCATCCACCTTTCAGATCAGTTTCACTACAAACTCTCAGCTACAACAGCCCCCATACACATCAGGAGCCATGTGAGTTTGCAGATCTTACAGCTGGGATTGTGGACTCGAAGGGGTGTGGCTTCCAACCAGGAGTTTTCACCTGCAGGGAATCCCCTCAGGGGGATATGATTCCCAGTGCATTTAAAGCTTTAAATAAAAGCATGTTAATATCTTCATCGGATTCTTCTACTCAATGCATTTTCAGATCAGAAAGACACCACAGAATCATACAAGTCTCCTGTCAGCACTCAAAAATCTGAACAACTTCAGATACTGGTTTTGCTTTATGCACGTCACACCTATTCTGCAGATAATCTCAATTTGTATTGAACACTCATTCTTCTTTGAAATTTTCACTAAATTACCAGAAATACTAGTTTTCCCATATGAATTATTGCATTTAGATGTTCCAATCACTTCCATGGCCATAGGCATAAAAACAAGAAACTAGGCATATACTGCAGACTTTTACAAAGCTCTGTGCAAGGCTGTTTTGCTCAGATGTATCCTGTGCAATAAATCCAGTAATGGCATTTCCTCACCAAGTTATTCCACAGTAAGTGGTAAAATCTGACAGTGAAAGCGACTGGGAACGACAGCAACTCAGCTGTGAAGTGGAAGGCCATATAAAATCTCCGGGCATAGTTTGCGGATGCTGAGGAACAGGGGTCGCAGACTTTGTGCTGAGTCAAAAGCCAAACTTGACGTGACTGTCAGATCAGCTCAAGAACAGTGCCAACAATGTCATGAGGTCAAAGTAAAAAAAAAAATAAATAAATAAAAAAAAGCTTTTAGGAGAGAGAAAGTCAACAAAAGCACACAAAGAGAAATTACAGCCAAAACAAGCGATATCTTTAAATCCATGGTTTAAATAGGACTGTGCAATTACTTTAATTCAACAAATTTGAGGCATTTAGCTGGCTAGTGATGTGTTTTCACATTTTTTAGTGCTTTAGCATTTCTCAGACTGATCTACTTAAAAAGTTGCAGTTTAAAAAAAAAAACTGCAATTCATTTGTCAGTGTGGAGTACGCTGCTTCAAACAACTGCATGGTGTAAAGCCTACAAGAGAGGATAATAAATATTAACATCATTTTCTGTTTTCCATGCACTTGTAATATCTTTTCTTTTAATTAGCCTACTTGGTTGCACATCTCTATTAATCTGGGTATGCTGTTAATAACCACACCATATATTTTTTATGATTTGTTTTTAGACTTTTTACATTTTCATGAATATGTTTTCTTACACCTATTTTAACTTGCTGCTGGTAGACCTGAATATTCCCACTGTGGGGCAATAAAGGATTTTTCTATTCTATAATATCATGATGCA